GATAAATTAAATAACAAATAAATAAATCATAAGAACTGAATGAGCAGAATCAAAGTCCACCTTTGGCAGAGAAATGAAGCAATGGTTTCCTGGGTTACGGGGGTGTGATCACTGACGCGGACAGCATGAAGACATTTCTGCGACACAGAATGGGTGGGAAAGCCCTGACCTGGATCCCAGCAGCAGCAGGAACCAGAGGGACAGGAAAACCTGGAGATCCTTCCAGGGAGAAGGACCGGAAAGTTTAGTCCTTCTGAAAGTGCCGGAGTCAATGGAAGCATGCTCTCGACTTTCAACATTATGTAGTGGTCAATCCAGCCAGCACACATTCACGGGGCTCCGCAGCAGGGTTCTGAACGTCATAAAAAGGGGCAGCTCTTCATTTCCCAACCCTTTCAGTGGTTAAGTCTTTGACACGGGTCAAGACTGATGACAGACCCAGACATAATGGAGTTACGCTGTGTTTGCTTCCTTATTCACATTCACTCCAACTCTAGGGGATCTGAGCGCCCCACATTCTTAGGATAGGGCCTGACTGCAATGCGACTAGTCAATACGAAAGTAGAATTTAGAGCCAGAAAGTGGTGGCACAGGCCTTTAATCCCAGCACTCGGGAGGCAAAGGCAGGCGGATCTCTGTGAGTTCCAGGCCAGCCTGGTCTACAAGAGCTAGTTCTAGGACAGCCAGCGCTGTTACACAGAAAAACCTGTCTCGAGAAAAAAAAAAAAAAGTAAAATTTAAAAGCCTTCAGCGTTCATTAAGTAAACCACTCACTCTGTTTCTTTCAACATTTCACTGTACAGCCTCACTGTACAGCCTCACTGTACAGCCTCACTGTACAGCCTCACTGTACAGCCTCACTATACAGCCTCACTGTACAGCCTCACTATACAGCCGTATGCATCCTCTAGATCTTATTTGGGTTTATCTTAAAAAACTACTGCCAAGAATTAATTAATGTATGTATTTATTTTAGTGGTGCCAGGGGATGCAAGTCAGGGCCATGAGCCCCACCACTGGGAATTCTACAAGGACTTCCAACCAAGAATTTTGTTGGAATTTCTTACTACAATGAAGAAAAGTTCTCCCGTGGGGGGGGGGGGGGTAAAATCACTGCAAAAAACCCAAAAACAAAACAAAAAACCTGAATGACTAAAGAGCAAAGACCACTGCCTCTGGGAATTTCCACTCAATTTTCTCTAAAAAAGAAATAACCCGTCTTATTGGTCCTTCATCTATGCATTTCTCAGACTAGTGAGAATAATTGTGAGAGACTACTGTGGTGGAACGTGTTTTTAATTCCAGCACTCATTAGTCTGAAGCAAGAGGATTATAGTGACTGGGCTACATAGCAAGTACCAAGCCAGCCAGGACTACATGTCAAGAACCTGCCCCAAACAACATTAAAATAAAAAATTTAGGAGCCCAAACACACATAAAAAAGAAAGGAAGGAAGGAAAAAATGACAACAACAAAACCCTTAAAATTAAGTCCAATCTCACATGATGTTGGTATTATAAAACAATTAAAAAATCTGTTTGTTTTTATAGCAGACACATGCTACCAAGCCCCGTTATCCAAATTTCCAGGCATGCTAGGCAAGCACTCTACCAACTTAGCTGCATCCCTAGGCACAAATCTGTTTTCTCCAAACCACAAAACAAAACGAAAAACCAGATTTTAACGAATGAAAGATGATGTCATGAATTTGGAAGAGAGCAAGGAGGTACACACCTTTAATCCCAACACTTGGGAGGAAGAGGTACATTGACCTCTGTGACTTCAAGGGGCAGAGGCAGATTGACCTCTGTGACTTTAAGGTGTGGTAGTACACGCCTTTAATCCCAATGCCTGGAAGGCAGAGACAGACAGATCTCTGTGAATTCAAGGTGTTGTAGTACACACCTTTAATCCCAGCACTGGGGAGGCAGAGAGGAAGAATCTCTGTGAGTTCAAGGACAGCCTGGTCTACAGAGTTATTCCAGGACAAAGATATATACAGAGAACCTGTCTCAAAAGCCAAAAGTTAAAAGAAAAAATAAAATAGAGGTTAAAATAAAGCCACATAAAGATGGAAAATACACAGAGAATCTTGATACTGTATGTTATTATACTCTCTTTGAATTGTTTGAATGCTGAGGAAGGAGAAACAGCTGCTAAAAGACTTTTGTTTATAAATGCTGCTGAACTAACCCAAGATAGGTATTTTGAAAATACCTTGGCTTCAAAACTGAAGTCAAAAGGTATGTTACTTTGGAGAAGAGATCTTGCTTTTGTTTCCACAGAAAATGAGAGACTGTGGATTCATTCTGAGTTAAGAAAAATTCAGTTTGACAAAGGACGACCACCCGAGAAATCCCCAGTAGGAACAGATGGCCCGGATGTCTGAGTTCTACATCCAGAACTGATTCAAGACTGCTGCCTGAGATGATCAGGACTCACAGGATACTCCAGTCAGGACTTGATTATAACTCTAAATTTTCTTTAGGTCCCCATAAGATCATCAGTGCCCCCAACCAGCAGGAAGTAGCCTGAAATACTACGCTCACATTCCCAACAAATGGACTATGGGTATTTTCTTTGTTTAAAAAAAAAAAGAGGGAAATGGTGTGGGAGAATTGTCTGTATTCTGTCAATCATATTTTAATAAAACGCTGATTGGCCAGGCAGGCAGTATAGGCGGGAAAGCCAGACAGGAAGTAGGGGTGGAGCAAAGAGACTGGGAGAATTCTGGGAAGCAGGAAGCTCCCTCCACTCCTGGGCAGACCACCGAAGAGGCAGCATGTAACTTGCCCAGCTGAGAAAGGTACAGAGCCATGTGGCTAATGTAGATAAGGATAATGGGGTAACATAAGTTATAAGAGTTAACAAGAAGCCTGACCTAATGGGCCAATCAGTTTGTAACCTTATGGAGTCCTGTGTGATTTCTCTTTGGGATTTGCTGGCTGTGGGGTACTGGGCGGGACGGAAACCCCAACAAGCCGGCCCCCTCATGTTACATAAGGGAGAGTCTGGAGGGAGGAAAGGAAAGGGGAAAACGGTGTGATTATAATCTCAAAAATAAAAGAAACATTTTTAGAAAAAGTTTTTAAAAAGCCAGGCATGGGCTGGTGAGAGAGCTTAGTTGATAAAAGCACTTGCTGCCCAGCCTGACGACCTAGTTCAACCCACACGACCCACAAGCAAACAGACTCTCACAAGCTGCCCTCTGACCTTCACATATGTTATGGCACACATGCACACACATGCACACACAACAGACAAACAAATAAGTAAGTGTAATAACAAGAAATGTGAGTGTAAAAGCCAGGTATGGTGATGCATTCCTCTAACCCCAGAATTCAAGAGGCTGAGGAAGGACTAGAAGTCGTTTGAGGCAAGCGTTGCTGTCTCCACAATGAAAAAACTGTCTTAAAAAGAAAGAAGACACACATTCACAGTTTTAAAAACTTGCTTTTCTCATGTCTCCACCAAAAAAACAATTTAGCATGCAATCTAAATTAAACAGGCAGATTTTTACCCTGTAGACCAGCCACAGTACAGGAAGAAAAGCTATCTTTTACACTTCATTTTCAGGAGCCCGATCCTTCTTTCTCAAATCCGAGCCACCGTTGTCTTTGGCCACTGAGAACAGTACTCACTCTACAGCTGTAGAAATAGCCAGGGCTTTCCAATAGCTGGTTCATGACAGAGCTTTAGATCTATCTAGAAAAAAACACTGTGTATCGGGACTTCCTCTCGTCCTGTGAATTAATGATCTCAGCCAAGAGCGGAGGAAAGCAGTGCAGATGGGCAGGATATCCGCTCATTATTTACTTCGTTTTATGTCATTCCAGAGGGAAATCTAGTGCCTGGTTTGCAGTTAGAAACCCGAATTCAGCCTGCAGCACACCTTGGCTGGCAGGTCACAGGTCTGCAAGGGAAGGCCCTCCCATCTGCTTTCCTCTCTACCAGGTGGGAGAGCCCGAAGCTCCTGCGTCAAGGGAAGTGAGCGAATGCGAGTTTCCAGGCTCACAGGCTCCTCTATCAATCTTGGTTGAAGAGAACCAGATGAAGGAGATGCACTCCCATTGTGTTCTCAAAGACAACAGTCATAGCAAAGAACCTCAAATTCTATTTTCACCAAACCACAGGTATCTACTATTGAGTTGTGGTGACATTTCAATGTTCTTATCCACTTTAACACAAAATGTAATGGCAATAATATAGATAATTCTCTCCCTTTCCTCAATACACTTCAGCAAATCTCAGTAGACTTAATGTGTGTATCAGATCATATGCGTGGTATTGACATGATGTGTATTATCTTTTATTATGATATCAAAACCACTTAATCTTCATAAGCCTGTTATTCTGTCTATGAAAAAAATATCTTGCTACTGTGTTACTGTTACTATGGAAAGTTTTAAAGAGTCAGAGAACAAAAGTACCCGAGAACACGTATCTTCATCCAAATTCTACCTTATATTCTCTTCCACACTAGTCAGAGAAGTCTAAAATCTTGCAAATGATGGTCAGAATACCCAAATAATCATAGTAAGGCTACTGTTACTATTGCTAAGAATAGCTAATATTAGAATTTACTATGCTCAGAGAATTATTCTAAGGATCATGCGTGCAACTTAGCTCATTAACCAATCCTCATAACAACAGAGGAAAGTAATTAGAGTCCTCAGGACAGTGCTATGTAAACATACAGGAGTGACTGTAGACCCCAAGTAGTGAAGAAAACACCTCCTTGGGATTAACAATGTTATTTAGGTAAAATGACACAAGGATGTGGACCCTTATGGTGAAAGAGCATCAGAGCATAGGGCACAACCTGCATGAATGCCCAGAGGTGACACATGATGCTCACAGAACTGAAAGCAGCTCAATCCCAGTGACTTAACTCATCTATTAGGCAGTGGTCATGGAGAGTGGGAAGCGGCATGCTTAGGAAAGGCATACTCAATAAGGGCAGTCAGGGTCAGTTGGCTGGTAAGGTTTGGAGAGCCCACCTGTCAGCAGCAGCCTGTACTGAGGGATCCTCTGCACTGGCTTCAGCAGGTAGTGCTTCAGGGCCAGGTTGGCACATCGCGGGCTCATCTGAAGGGGGGAAAAGCATGGAAAGTAAATCCATTGTTTTTTTCAAAAGCACTTAGAAAGTCAAACTTCGAACAGCCAACAACTGGGGAGGAGAACTCAGAGATGTTGCCTTCTGTAAGACACGCCGGCTGTGACAGTGGCTGTCACAAAGGAGTGACTGCAGCTACCAAACCCACCTCTCCAGCCGCTCTCGAAAGCCAGTGCTCCAGAGAGCACTGGTCCACAGCTCTCAGAACGTGGTGTCCTCCTGGGGATGTCCCAGCTTCCACTCAGGGAACATGTGCTAGTCCTAACTACAAACTCCCAGGAACCGAGAAGGGAATGCATGGCCCCCAATAAGGAAGCAGATCTAAAAGTATTGGGGCTTAGATTCAAACAATAACCAAAGCCCCATGGTCAATATACTCACAGTAACAACAGTATAGTGGGGAGGGCTGCAGAAACCAAAACTACGAGCAGCCTTGCTAAGTACCCCTCTCTCTTAGAATAATGAATGTAAAAATCTTTTTGGATGAGTAGTCCTACAAGACAACCAAGTTAGAATGTACACACCTGGTTGCCTGTATAATGTTTTCTTTTTAAGGTGTGTGTGAAGACTTTGCAAATGCCAAGCATGTGTGCTACTCTGGAGGCAAATCATAAGCCATTAACTTGGCTATAAAGTCATGTGATTTAATGTAGTGATATTTCATTTGTATTTTCAGAAAGCTTCCCTGAAGATCAAAGAGCAAAACAGTCCCACACTGGTCAGCCTTGCAGACCAGGCAGCGATAACCCATACCTTTAATCTCAGTAGCCACACTAGTTTGCCTCTAGTTCCCCAGAACTAGAGGGGAACGAACATAAGACAGGAGGAGACAGCTCTCAGACACAGTTTCATTCTGAGATTCCTGGAGGCAGGATCGCCATTTCAGACTGAGGTCAAGGTAAGAGTCAGTGGCTGGCTGCTTTGCTTTTCTGATATTCAGGTTGAACCCCAATATCTGTCTCTAGGTTTTTACTAATCATGCTACAATTGTCCTTAAAATTTTTTTCCTTAATATGTAAAATAGCTTTCTCAGACTGTTCCTGAGCTTCATCCACCCCAGAGTTTACTGTGTGGCAGGACCCAAATGAGTCCTTGTGCTGCTTTCTGAGACAGCTGTGCACCTCAGCTGCCCCTGAACTCTCTCTGCTCTTGTCTCTATTTTCTGGGTGTTGGGGTTACAGGCTATCCCACGATACCCAGTAATGCCTCTTTTTTTCCACAACAGTAGAGGAGAGGAAAGGATGAAAGAATATGAATTAATTTTCTATGATTTAGAAGAGATTATATTTTAACACATCTTTATTCAAAAGTTTTCTTTTCAATGACTATAAATGATTAAGGTATAGAAAATATAAGAAAAAAATTTCAAAATTATATGGTGGCAAGTACCTCGAATTCCCTAACGACCGCAGCGAACCCTGGGTTTCTCTTGCACTGCTCATCCAGCAAAGCAATGTTCTTATCAAATTCTTTGATGTATGTGGAATACATTTTTAAATACGGCCCCTTCTTCACAAAGATATCGGCAATTCTTGGTTGTTCATTCCTGTGGATAGAGGATACACAAAAACATAAGAGCGGTCATTGATGTGTAAGGCGGAGCGACGTCATCAGCTCATCCCTTCTTGAAAACATCCTAAGAGGCTGCTCTTCACCGTTGCCCCTGCCAGGAACACATCTTGCCCAGACTCTGCTGTTTCTGACTGGTCCCCCTGTTTCCATTTTTGTCCTCTCTATTCCATTCCTTAGCATAGCAAGAGCCTAAAAAAATGCACATCCTGTTATATAACTTCCAATAATGACTTCTTTTCATTATTTATTTCTCTCTCTCTCTCTCTCTCTCTCTCTCTCTCTCTGTGTGTGTGTGTGTGTGTGTGTGTGTGTTTGTGTGTGTAGATGGTATCACTAAGCTACCCAGGCTGGTCTTGAACTCATGACCCTGCTGCTTCAGCCTCTCTCCCTCTGTGATTACAGGTAAGCATCACACCAGCTCCAAAGACGTTCTAATACATGCACACAGGGCCACTGCTTCTTCCTGTCTGCCTGACCCAGGCCTATTTGCTTCCCTTTTCCTGCTCTCCAAAGTATCTATGTTCTTTGAATACACAGAGTCCATTGAAGCCTGGAAATAGGGAGCTCTTGGAGTTTCCCCATTCCCATGTTCCCGTCTCAGTTCACACGCTCCACATTTGGTGTGGGGGGAGGAGTAGCTGGCTGACATCTGAACATCTTATAAATGGTAGGCAAGTTGTCTATTACTGACTGTATTCCTAGCCCGTGTTCCACTTTCTTAGAGAGCCTTCTTAGACCTAATCTTCAGTGAGTACCCAGCACGTTATCAGTCTCCACAAATCAGAAGTTGTTTTTTCTGATTTTTCTTGTCTATTTACCTGGTCCTTCTCCCCACTAAAATGTCTGTCCCATGAAGGCAAGACTTTCATATATTTTATATACTATGACATGCTTGTCACATGTAGATTACCAAGTAACACAGTAGATATTCAAATCTTGGAAAACTGAAATACTTGCTAGGCGTAACTCTAGTACTCGGAAGGTGAGACAGTAGGATTGCTATGAGTTCAAGATCAGCCTATACTACAGAGTAGATCCCAAGCCAGGGTAGCTACAAAGAGAGACACTTTAAAAATCTGGTCCAGTAACTTATTTCAAACCAACAGATAACTAGGGAAATAGAAGCAGTACACATTTCTGCTACTGTCATGTGGGGTGGTGGTAGCCAGGACATGGATTCCTTGATCACAATGTAAGCACCTTGTTTCTCACAGCTCTACCCCAACACAACTGCATTATCAGCAGGCAGTGGCTAGATCAAGAGGCACCAGTGACCATGTCCGTCCTTACAGAGCAGAACATGATCTATGTACGGCCTGGAGACCAAGGTAAAGAGTCGGTACTGGCTAAGTGTTCCTGCAAAGCAGAAGTGTCACTGTAGTAAGGTACACGGGGCCAAGAGTTTCCAGATCAACAAGGTGGCCTCTGCTCCCAAGTTTCCCAGGCAGAGAGATACTGCCTACCAGTTTAACTACCCCAGTGTCACCAAGTGTCACTCGAGGTCCTAACCTTGAGTTTCAGACTTCTGTTTTATAAAGACTGGCCCCTCTCAAGTTGGTCCCAGAATTGAAAATACTACAATTTCTCTAACAGTGTGGCCCTTACATTGGTCTTACCAAGACAAACGTGTACCCTCTGATCTATATAGAGAGTATTTGGTGCTCTGACTGCCCTAACACAAATATATGATCCTAGGGTTTCTTGTACGGTAGGCAAACCATTAAGCAAAACCCCAGACCACTTTTTATTCTTTTTATTTATCGAAATATTTATGGATTGACTTACTGATATATTTTGAGGCATGGATGTGAGGCCAGAGGACAACCGTGGCAACCAGCCTCCTCCTTTCACCATGGAGGCTCCAAGGGTCAAACTCAGGTCAGCAGGTCTGGTGGCAAGTACCTTTACCCACTGACTCATCTTGCCAACCTGTCTTTCACTTTTTGTTTTGAAACAGAAACTCATTAAGATGCCTGTGCAACTCAGTGAACGTGTTGTCTTGCCTCAGCTTCCCAAGTACGTGGGCTTTCAAGACTGTTCCATTAGACCCAGTGAAAAGACTATTTTGATAGGAAATACCTTATTCAAAGACTTGAACTATTTTGTTAGCAATAAATTTAACTTTTCTATGAGTGAAGAGTTGTCTCTTTCATTAGTTTAGGCTGGTTCTCAGGAATGCTTAACATTTGAACATTGATCATCTACGGGTCCAAAACTTGAGGAAGACTTTAGTACAAGCAAAAAATATTTAAACCTCTTATATTACTTATATAAATATGCCTATCATTAGGCTTTAAAGTCAGGTAGGATAATATTAATGCAAAATTCTATAAGGAACAAAAGATAATACAGAATAATTTTGGTAATAATTTATTTTCGCTACAACTTTAAAAAAAACACAGTCTGAAATTTTTCAGGAAGTGAAACCCTATCTCAATAAATGAACAGAAAAACAAAACAAAAAGGAAAAAAAGAAACAGAAAAAAAGCAACAGCTAAGTTGGCTGAGCATGGATCTGAGCAAGCATTGTTGAAGAACATTTAAAATGATATGTATATAAATCCAGCGTACTAAATGACGTGTGGTGATCCAAAATATTCATCATACAGATAACTGCGAAGAAAGTTCAACATACTGCAGCAGTTCTGCATAAGGGACACCTCTCTCTCTCTCTCTCTCTCTCTCTCTCTCTCTCTCTCTCTCTCTCTCTCCTTAGCAGGTTTTCTGGGGATTGTCTTACCAGCTCAACATTCTTTCCTCGAGTTCCTTCAGGAGATCCCGGTTGAGCTCATACAGCTGAGGCAGGTAGTACAAGATCTGGTTCAGGATCCGGTCCTCAATCACAGGCTTCCCAAGTTGCCTGGATGCATGGGCTACAGCATCCCGGAAATCCTGTTATCGTCAGGAGGAGGAAGAGCACTGTACAAACTCGGAACTGGATCGAAAGCCCTTTCCCTACGATGATCTAAATCACAAAACTATCTCTTGCAACTCTATAAAGAAGTGTCTAAAAACTGTTTTGCAGCTCTGTGAATTAAGGCCACTGTAATGCTATCATATAAACACGATTCCTCTGCTTTGTCACATGGAGCAATGCTTTTCCCTCATGAGGCATAAACTAACAAAACCCCAGGGCTAGGCTTTAGAAACCTCTTAGTTGTTGTCAGGGAAATATAAGAGACTCCCGAAACAGGACAGGCTGCTGCTATTACCCTAGGCTGCCTCCCAGAACTTGAAGCTAAGACCCTACTGTTGAAAACACCACACAATTTGGACACAGAACTTGGGGGAATCAAGCTGGAATTGACCTGGAAGCCTCCTCCCTGAAGACTACTATCTAAGAGTGCTATACGAACCGCCATTGGAGAGAAACAATCAATAGTCCTATCCAGAGGTAAAGCCCATTAACTCCAACAATGCCAGGCTAGGCAAAACATCCCCAGTGGCCCAATAGTGGCACCTTTATGTGGGTGGTAACCAACACGGTCCAGTTGGATTTAAGACTTGTCCAAGGTGAGGAGATTCACACTGAGTAGTGTGTAAACAGAGCCAACGATCTGTGGCTGGAGAGGCCAGAGACCCTAGAGAAGAACCTCCTGCTGCCAGTTTTCTAAACTGATATCTATGTTTGGTTGTCAACTTGTCAACATCTGGAACTAACTAAAATCCAGAAATGGAGAACATACTAGTAAGCAACTTTTGCTTAATTTGAAGAATGAAGATCTACTTCTAATCTGGATCTTGAGGAGGAAAAATACACCTTTAATCTGGGCCACACCTTCTGGGAGCCAATAAAGACATGGAAGAAGAAGGTTTTTGTTTTGCTTTTTGCCTGCTTGCCCTCCCCTTGCTACCAGGTCCATTCCTTCACTGGCATTAGACCCTACTTCTTCGGGGTTCCAGCCTCTATGGAAGACCAGGTAAGACAGCCAGCCTCATGGACTGAACAACTTCTGGATTGTTGGACTCTCCATTCATAGCCAGTCATTGATGGATTAGCTAGATTGCCGACTATAAATTATTCTAAATAAATATAAAGTTTTTAGAAATGTTTGCCTTTATATATATACAGATAGATAGATAGATAGATAGATATAGATATAGAAAGAAAACTTCATTGTATAAGTTATTACTCTAGAGGACACTGACTAATACATAAAGCAATATAATTTTTAACTGTACTCTAAATATTGATCTTTATACACACAGGTATGTGTAGTGCTTACACATAGAAGTTCTCTTTTGTAATACATAGGGACTATTACAGAGATCTGTAATATGTAATTTTCAAATATTGAAAATTGAAAATAATTTTCACAATGCAGCAAATAAGTGATTTGGGGGTGCTTAGCCCCAAATGGTTCATCTACAGCACGACCCTTATACTTAAAGGTCAGGAACATTGGGGAAGAGTGGGGACAAAAGGCTGCAAGTGACAGAAGTCCGAGATACCTGTTTCCAGGTAGCATCTTCTAGACATGACAGGGAATAGCCACCCACGAAATCACAAGCTGCTGCCTAGACAAGAATTATACGATGATACAAGCTGACAGGCCAGCATGGATGGGGAAGTCTCCCAGGGCCCCACACCTAGATGAGGAACTACAACCAATCAATGGCTGCTGAGAGAGGGAGAATCCGTTTTCTAGGGGAATAACCTGATAGGTTATTCAATTTAAAGTGGTCACTCCTCAATACATGTATATATGAGCGATACTAAGTGGACTCAGTGAGGGTGTGTGTGTGAGAGAGAGATTAAAAAGACGCCATTAATTTGAAAGTATGGACAAAGGAGGAGTTGAAGGGAGACAGCAGGAGCTGAAGAGAAGAGCAAAACTTACATAAAGACAATACTTAAGTATGAAATTCACAAAGAATATTCTATTAATTTTTTTTCAAGTTCCCAAGAGGTCTTAACTAATTACATTCAGAATTGTCCCTCATCCCTGCCAGTAGCAGTTTCTCAGCCTGGAGCCTCTAGCTGAGACCTGTAGAGGAAGGAAGGCACTTTCTAATCAGGATTCTAGATCTAAGCCATGCTTTTGGCTTGCTGTGTTTCCTTGGGCTAGCCTTGGCTTCTTCATTTGCTAAACAGATGCGGTTGTGACATAATTAGTATTAGAGAATAGCGGTAATAAAGTCTAATTGGATGGTGCCCAGACACTTACTGTGATTCATTTGGTACAGAGCCAGCACAACACTCTGACTCTGGGTCTCAGTGCTCCTCTCCCTCAAGCCAGGCTCCCAGTGAGCTCACCATTTACACACTAACACGGCATATTCCTCATTTTCTGTTCTCTAAGCCTGCCAGTGCTGTTTTAATATAGGTCACCACCACCACACCCTATCACAGCAGAGGAGGAGGAAAGGGTGGGGGAGGAGATAAGTATTGGCCTAGACCTCATTGTCCTCTGAGGGTGGGCCCAGAGATCTAAGCTAAACAATAGCGGAATCTCCCAGCTGCGCGGGACTCCAAAACAAAGGTTCCTTCTCCCAACAACTTGATTCCAAATCGTAAAGCAGAACCTGAAGAGGATCACTAGGCTTTCTCGTTACTTGCAACTGGTTTCCCTTTGTGGATTTACTAGGCAAATCACGTTGGAAGGGACAGCATTTCCTCTGTTGGTTCCTTCAACACTAGTTCCTAAAATACAAGTTGATCAAGAGTATTTCTTCTGGGTGTGGGCGGGGGAACAAGAACAAGCCTCAAACTCAAAAATCCTCACACATACCCTAAAAGAACAGAAAGGTTTCCTACCCAAAGTACAGTTAAGTTTCTTTGCAGAGCTGGAAATTCAGTCTTCTGAATGCAGGCACAGTTCTACCAGCTCTTTTCAAGGCTTTGTTTGTTTTGAGATAGTCTTGCTCAGACCAGGCTGGCCTCAGGACTTCATAATCCTCCTGCCTCGACCTCTGGACGACTGGAATTACAGATGTGCCAGAAAGGCCTCAAAGTTGCTATGTAGCTAAGGATTGCTCTCAACTTCTGATCTTCCTGCCTCTGCCTCCCAAGTGTTGGAATAACAGGCCTGCACCACCCACCATTCTGAACCCAGGGCTTCCTGAAGGCTAGGTAAGAACTCTATTAAAGAGCTGCATGCCTAGTCACCTCACTTTCTTAACAAATTCTAAAAACATGGTTTTTTTTTGGAGGCAGAACCTGGGATCAGTTTTATTGTCCCAGTAGCTACATTAATCTAAAGGAACACCCTATCTACACCAGTAACTAAAGAACCAACTTGTATAACTCACTAGTAGACTATACAACAAGAATTTAGCTTGCCAACACTACTAGAAAACCACACAAGCATCCCAGAAATCAACTGACAGCAGTCAGATTCCATCCCTGAGAGCTCGCCTCCATCAGCCCTGGCATTTGCTAGGAGAAAATGCAGCTACTTAACACTTCTGGGAGCCATTAGATTGTCTACTATCAAGGAATGCTACTGAACACACTCATGAATCACACCCCCGACTGTAAACATGTTCAAAGCTCAGCAGGTAAACAGCTACGTGTTCTTCTACCACTTGAGCGATTAAAATCATTCCAAAGCAGTTCCTGCTCAGCGAAGCAGTAAGCATGCTCCTTTCTTCTTGCAAAATTAAGTGATGACTATTTTGGTCCCTTGGCAGCAGAATAACTTTTGTTTTCCAACTGGAAGGTATTTCCTCACCATGACATAGACAGTGGATGATAGCTGTTAAGTAACTTAGGAGCCGGAGTGACACAGCTCCTGCCAGACTCCGCATTCCATGTCTTCCACCTCTGCCAAAAGGGAAACTTGTTTATTTAAGACACATTTAACAAAGACCAGCCAAATCCAAGTGGGCTGCCCAATGACGTGGAGGCCCTGAACACACACCTGACAAGGCTTTTTTGTTTTGTTTTGTTCTCTAAGAGTATTGAATGCTTGGGACAGCGTCATATGAATTGAAGCTCAATGATATCATTTTGGAAACTATGGCAGTAGCTCTAAATAAAATAGAAAGTTTATTTTGTACTTAGGTACGGTGGTATATGCACCTGTGTAAACCCAGCACTTGGGGGTGGGGAGTGGTCAAGGCAGGAGGATTGCTGTGTGTTTGAGGCTACACAGAGCTCCATAGCAAGACTCTGTCTCAAAAATGAACATTTAATAAAGATTATAAGAACGTCAAGGGTTTGAATCTCTAAGGCCCACAGTTATATGGTCTAAGCAGGTGATTGACGTTTCCTTAGACAAGGGAGTTTTACTAAGAATCTCCCACCACTTACACTGTCTGGCCCTGTTCCTCACCTTCCACTATCTCCCAAGGAGTAGCAGATTGCCCCTCCCCAACTTGTTCCTTCACTTCTTGGGAATCTTCTAACCACTAACTCTCACTTTGCTTCTTGGCTAGGAATTCTGCATTTGGAGTTAATTCCAAATCTCTTGACCACTGCAAAAGTCCCTTCAACAGCACTGGGACTGAACACAGTCTGTTTTACTGTATGTTAAAAATAATAAATTAAAAAAAGGCCCAGTATGGTGGTGCATGTCTGTGATCCTAGCACTTAAGAGGCAGAGGCAGAGGCAGGCAGATGTCTTGAGTATGAGACCATCCTGGTCTACAGAGTGAGTTCCAGGACAATCAGGGCTACATTATAGTGTTGGGACTACTGAGTCTGGTCTTCAGCTGGATGTTGGGACTAATGAGTTCTGGCCTTTAGCTGCTCTTCCCTCCTAGAACCTTCTAATTAAAGTCACTAGTTTAATTAGTTGGTTGCAGTGGTTGCAGTGGTTGCAGAGCAGCAAGCCTGCTTCCCTGAGTTCCGCTCCACTCCGTGCACCAGTTTGGACCCAAAACGAATGCAGCTGGGGCTAGAAGGCAGCTGGAGCAGAGCTTTGCTAGGTGGCTGTGGTGGAAGGCAC